GCGAAAAAACATATAAACATTTTTGTGTGTGTGTGTCTTTTAGATCATCTTCTAATGAGCCAACCAAACTGAAATCAAACTTTAAATACTTATCACCACACAAAGCAATTTATTAGACCTAAATTTGATTGAGGCCACATCATTTTAAATTTCTGCAGTTTTAGTAACAGACATTTGAGCGTGGGTCAGTTCACAGGTAAACATATTTGGATTTTCAGAGGGAGAAGAGATGTCTGCACGGGTCTGCACAGATTAATACAGCAGGAACGCAGACCGTCTATGCAGTCGTCTCAAAACGAAGAAAACAATGTAAAATCAATAGCCACAGAGCTTGCAGGCAACAGGAGGGATATTTTTTCTTCCTCAATTTTCCTTGACAGGCTCCATTCAAAGCATAGTTATATCTAAGTAAATTATTAAGGATCTGACTTTTTTGCAGTATTTTGGGTGAAAGAAATGATATGAGGAGTAGGGAAGGTAATCCCAGCAGAACTTAATCTTGCTGCCTTCTAATCAGGGCTCCTGCTCCGTCAGATTGAGCTCCAAAACAAGAAGTCGCTTTTCATGGTTGTATGATTTATATTTATTCTTTTTACATTTAACCGTTTATTTTCGAATATGAGATATGAATTACAACATTACGTCATGTTGGCACCAAAATTCTGAAAATGTAAAAACTGATAGTGGAAACTTAGACATTAACATTGCTCACAAAACTGCTAAAAACCCCAGAATAACGTAACTAAAACCACCAAAATCCATTAACTTTTTTCTATAACTTTTTAAAAATGTATTCATTATCATCTTTTGTATTTTGTAGAAAATGGGCATGACAGAAGATGACAAGAGGAATTGCTGCTTAGTAGAGATCCAGGAGACTGAAGCCAAGTACTATAAGACACTAGAAGACATTGAGAAGGTGAGTTAATCTGTTAATATTCACCTGAGAGTTCAATCTTGACTCAGAAGTTCTGTTTCATACGTTGATGTAATATTCATTTGGAGATTTTAAATGACTAATTTAAGATGCTTATGCAATAAATAACCTAGAAAGTTAGCTAGAAGCAAGAACTGGGTGTACAAGTTTGAGTAAAACAGAAGTTCTTCGCCACTGACATGGTAAAAATTTTAACCCCGGGCTCAAATGCATACTTATTGTTCTCTTCTACTAAAACTTAAATATATTCCTAAAAGATGCAATATGACATATTGCTATCAGCAATATTCCAGCATGAATCTGGCTTAAAATTTAAATATCTTTTCTTGCAGACTAAGTAGAGTTGTTTCGTCCTACCTTTGGCTTTTAGGGACACTTCCCCCTTTTTTTTTTTCTTTTAAAATTAAGATTAAGGTTTAGGAAAGTTCGTTATAGATGCCATTTTTTATTTTTGTGATTGTGTTGACCCAGAACCCAATTCTGATTCGTTCATTAAGTTTATTTTTGTTCCACTGCAATATATGTTTCTTTGCCTTTATTTTCTCACGTAAAGCACTTTCACTTGTCTTTCTACTGAAATGTGTTTTCTAAATAAGCTGACATGGCCATCTTAGTCTAAATGTTAAGCAGCCCACAGTATGATACTGTTAATGCCATGCTTCACAGCTACAATCTTAATAGGTCTACAGTAAACCTTCCTTGACCAACAATGATTTCCTATCAAACAAATGATTTTTATTCTGGGAGATAAAACCAGCAGCTGTAGTGATTTTATTTTAATTTTTTTAAGTTAAAAGAGATCAACCAATACAGGCATTTAAGGTCCATAACATTTTATTTAAACAACCAATAAGAATATTTTAATGCTATGTGCTGCATTTTTTAGGGCTTATTCTTCAGAAAGAAATTGCTTTCTCTTCCTACATTTATATGATAATTAATTTCAATGAAAAAAAAATTTCAATTGTAAATAAAAATAAATGCCTGTTAACAAACCAATGGATTAGTTTAACAATGGATAGCAAACAGAGGGAACAGACAAAGCATGCAACTTGCATGATCTCAAGGCATTGCTACTGTAAATAGACTAATGAATCAGTGAAAACGCACCTATCGGCCAATGGCCATACAAGTAAAGAACACAGTTCTAACACATGAAGCATCAGTAGGGCTAGGGTTGGTATTTAAAGTATATATTATATTGATCTTGTGTAGTTTCTGTTAAATTTAATCTTAATGAAAAATAGTCTTAAATTTTAAAATGAGACAAAAAAAACCTGATTGAAATTTCGATTAACATTGAGACTCATAGAGAGAAAATAATAAACAACAGGAATCAGTCTCACAAATATTAATTAAGCTTAATGTTTTAACACCATTCATTCTTGAAAGAAAGAAGGTTAAAAAATAGAATACAAGCCCTGAGTTAGGCTGATGATTACGGCCATCAAGAGTACATGAGAAGGTCTGTTGATCAGAGTTTCTGTTTGCTGCCTACTTGTTACCAGTTCCTGATGCCCCTTAGCTGTATGTCAGCATGGAAATGTCACAAATTGGCAGATTCATTTAGGAGCACAAATGTCAGGGGAACCAATCAATACAGTTATTATTGGCTGAGCCCACAGGGGGATGGTTATCCCTGTAGCATTGAGTGCAACATTACAGGTGATAAGCGTTACCAAAGCAATAGATGGATTTCTATTTAATATTATTATAATGCAAGGACATAATCTGATTATACATGGCCTTGTAAAATGAATCATTACTCTTAATCTTTTTTTACCATTTGGTCATTTCATAAAGAGTTTACATGATGAATCAACTGGAAGTTGAGCAGATTTTTGAATTTCAAGGAAAATGGGTGCATGTTTAATACTATTAAAAAGCATCATTCAGCCTCAGTGAGTCAGAACAGAACTTTGAATAAGCGTCTTTGGAGGTAGCTCAGCTGAAGGTCTTTGGGAGGTAAAATTGTTGCTTATTCTTCTTAGAAAACTGAAACTTAGTAAGACTGGACAAAAAATGAATGTGAACATCAACTGACTGGTGTTTCCACAGTGTTTTATTTGACAATAGGTCTGAACTTTGGTTGGACAGCTTTAGGAAATAGATGTACTCAGTTCTAATCATTCTGTAGCAAGATTGGTTGCATGTTTAAGGTTGCCCTTCTGATAGAAGGTGTACCTCCAACCTCAAGTCTTTCATGGCCTCCAACAGATTTCTCTTCCTGGTATTTTTGTATTTCATGTCTTTTGTAATTCTCAGCTTACATGGCATGTCAGTATGGCTGAACATATGACTAAGAAGATCTGCAGTGATGCCATAAGCTTTTTGTTTTAAAATTCTGTATTTAGCAGACCTAATGAGATGTTCAAAGATTGGTATATTGTTTTATAATCTACATAACCTCTTTCTATGACCTGTCTGCTGTCTTCCTTGCTCTGTTCATCTATAATCTAAATAGGCCTCAGAACAGGGCTGCTTTTGTTAGATCTAATTGTATGCAGGTGAAACGTTGAAGGGGTATCAGTGAGTTTTTTTTTATCTACTGTATATTTCTATGTTCATACAGAGTAAAAAAGGCTGTTTTTTCCTGATAAATTGAGCCTAGGCAGAAGTTCAACTGAATAAACTGATTATTCGTCCTCATCCACCTCAACACCAGCTAATCAGCTTTTAACCACACCTCCACAAAAGCCCAGTTAGCATCCAGACTTAATCTTTAAAGGTCTCCAGTCCACAACTCCATCTGCTACCCAAAGCGCAGGCAGTGGTTGCGCAATATCTGACCTCAATTCAGATTACCCGGTTTCAACCCACCTCCAGCCCCCCTTCCACCATCGTAGCTAAAGCTTCATCAGAGTTTCATTCCTCCCGGACTCTTACTGCATTCCCTGTCCCATTTCAACTGGTCCAGCAGAAGACCGCCATGTAGAGCCTGGTTCTGCCAGAAGTTTCTTCCCAATGGGGAGTTTTTCCTCTCCACTGTCGCTTCATGTTTGCTCATCGTGTACAGATTCTCGCAACCTGTGTTATCCTATCTGTTCTTCCATCTTCCAGATCCCTGAGTAAAGCACTAGTATCAGCTAATGCAGCCCACTTGATCCCTCTATAAAGCTCAAGCATACCGTCTCACCAACCAACAGTCTACAGACTGACCAACTTCATCTATCTGCACTCCTCCACCAGTTTCAGGCCTGAGGAAATATCCCTGTTCTTTCCTCCTGTTCATGCATATTAAACAAAATTCAGCGCTATGTTTCCTGACGAGGTCTGAGTGCCATAGACTAAAGTAATTGCATCAATATAATTCTTCTAATTGTCTTTTTCTTTTCCGTGTGAGTTTTTCAGATTGAAAGTGGGTTATTCCAGTCACGGTTATATTACAGATCTTCAAAGAACTTGTTCACACAGGCGTTCCTGTCCTCTCCGTGTAATAATAAGCCTTGTTGAGATCGGCACTGCTAACGCATCACTTTCGTCGTCTCCAGATTTCTTCTGAGCGCCACAAATCATCCGCTCCGCTAATTTCATTAAAGCAAATGTGCATCCTGTGTTTCCCCACATTAGACCAACGTGAGAGTGAATGAGAACAAATGTGCCTCTCATGACCAAAGGAGTCGTAAAGCTTAATTGAGTTTGGGTTCATAAAGGCTGTCGTTTTTTTATGTTGCTTTTTAGTTGATCTATTTGTTATCATTAAGATGATGAAATGTGGCAGCCATAAAGTAAAGTTGTGCAGGTTTTCTCCTGCAACAGCACAGCATCTCTGCGTATTTCCAGCAAACTTAAGGGTTATTTGCATTTAGTAAATGGCTTGATGTATGATGCCCAATGTTTTATTTTACCATATTTTGTAATATTGATCTATGCTAAGAGCTCCAACCTGGCCTCCTTCAAATAAAGAAATGTAAATGCAAAAATGCAAAAAGAAAAATTCTCCTCATGTTTACAGCAATTTTTGATTTGTTCTTCTCTTTTTATTCTTCAAGAATTACATGATCCCTCTGAAGCTTGTCTTGAGTTCACAAGAAATGGAGGCTATTTTTGTCAACCTGGAGGTGAGTAAGCGGTCAAGCAAAGAAAAAACATGTCCTTAAAGCATGTCTGCATGTGTCTCAGACCAGGTGAATAATTCGGCGTGTACCAGGTATATGGATAGCTGTTTGAATTACATGACATTTTATAGTTTCCGTATTTTACCCTGATATTTTATGGATGCAAAATTCCTTGTTTTATAGCTTACAAGTATTTGTTTTCAACACATCATCAGGAAAAATGGAAGATTTCATGTTTTGTTATGCATTGTTATAAATAATTAATTTTATTTCTACTTGAGCTGGCCTAGGTGATGGAAAAATCATGTTTGTGTTGTTTTCCAGCAGTGAGAAGTAATAGAATCCTAACAGCAAAATGGTTGGAGGAGGTTTTCTCCATCTTCCTTGTTTAACCTGAATCAGCTTTTATTTCTAGATCATGGGTTTAGAAAAGGTGTCATTACTTGTTGTTCCAAAGATTCTCAGAAATGACCGTATTAGTCCACAACTTCTCAGATTTCAAGCCAACTGCTTAATGTGGATATGCCATATATTACAAACTGAGCCATGGAAATATATATATATATATATATATATATATATATATATATATATATATATATATATATATATATATATATATATATATATAAAAGCATGAGGGAGTGGTGACATTTTATCTGGAAAACAACCTTGACTATTGGTGCTTGAAACTATGTCCTCCTTATATAAAAATATGAGGTAACCTCTTGTCTACATGTAGTGTCTGTACCTTTAATTCATTACAGTGGTTAATGTCAGATTGTGATAAACCTCTAAGTCCTAATATTTCTTATTTCAATTTTAGTAAAAAACCTCCTGCAACAATATGAAATTATCCATAGATTTGTTGCTTTGATCGCTTAATTTGATGTAATTTCAGCAAAATAGCAACAGATGTTAGTTTGACAAAAGGTGCTGCATTCCCCAGCTCTTTAAAATGAACATAATGCTCAGTATTTCCATTTAATTTAATTTGTATTTCAGTCATTTTCTTTTTTTTTTAAGATTATTTCATGAATAGCTTCACATTGTATGTTGTTTACATGAGTGAAAAGGAACACAAAGAACACAAAGCTTATAAAAGGTGCCCCTTTCTCCAAACACAAAACAAAATATAAAAGATGGTCTGTTGCACAATTTACCCCATAACTTCCAGCCAATACAATATATAATAAGATATCACTTTTTGACAAAACAAATGAAAAAAAAAATCAATGTTACATTTATTTCTTTTTACATATAAGATTTAGTTGTTATTAATTTAAATTGCTTTTTAAATTAATGAACAGAAGAGTTCTTTATATAAACATGTGAAATATCTTGTCAAATATGGATTTTGAATATTGAACTACTTATTGTGAATTCATCCTGTTTCATTGTGTTGTTCCGTAGGATATAATCCGAGTCCACTTTGCCCTTCTGAGAGCCATTGACCTGAGCATGGTCAGCGGAGGAAGTGGCCTTGGAAAGATCTTCCTCGAATTTAAGGAAAGGTAGGTCTCCCATAATCCCCGCCAAGCTTTTGACCTTGTGTCATTTTCTTTTGTGCCCCAGTAACCAGAACGCTAAAATCCAGTTAGAGCACAAAGATGGACGCCTTCACTATCCTTTCCTCTGTATGAGACTGCATTAAGAGGAGCATCCACAGATCAAGCAGCCTGTTGATGGGATTAGTGCACAAAGAATAAGTCACAAAAAAAATAAAAAATTAAGTTTTGTGGGGAAATAAGCTGAGAGAGCATGAGGCCAATTGTCTGTATTCAGCAGAAGCAGACGGAGTAACTGCACTCGGGATCACATTAGACTGTCACTCATGTTTCTTTGCTCGTCTTTTATCACATTTTCTTCATTTATTATGATTTACTTACATTTTTGCTGCTAGTGCTTTTAAATTTTAGCATTTTTTGGTTGTAATTTACTGTTTCTATTGTGTATAGATAAGGAATTGTTTGATTTCACAGAGAAGGACTGACAACATTAAGCAGATCAGCTCAGTATTGATTAAATGTTAAATTGATGTCACTATCTACAAAAGGCAAGTAGAAAACAAAAGATGTATTAACTTGGAACAAAAGTCTACCCTGCATCTGCTATATGCAACATATTAACTAAAACATTTTTTTTTATTTCTTAGACATTTTGAAAGTTAATTTTCATTGAGTATAATAAAAATGACTTGATTATGTGATATTTCTTCAGAGGTGGGAACAAACAAGGTAGTTTGAAGGAAATCTTTAGGAATTTCCATTTTATCTCCATGTTGCCCTGCTATAGAGAAACGTGTGGATGATTTGCACCCCTGAAGGGGAGCAGTGATTTTCCTCCCTGGCTCTGAGTGCAATGGCTTCCTTGGTAATGATGGTGATAATAGTTTCTGGCTTCGGTCTTGGTGCTATATGCACCCCTGGAAAAAAGGAGCCTCCTTGAACAATGCAGCCATTACTGCAGAAGTGAGTCACACACTGCCCTGCCTGATGTTGCAGACACAAGTAGTTATATTTCTCTGTAGTGATTATAAATCCTTTTTTTCCTGTGTTGATCCTTCTAGCCTAAAATTATTTTATCAGATGTTTTCCATGATTATAAGCTCATGCAGATACCTTTAAGAAGTTGAGCACACCATGTGTAAAACCTACTGTTCACTAATTCCCTATAGTTTAAAACTAAATATTCATTTTTATGGAAACACATCCAAATGTTTTTTTTTTTTCCATTTCAGACACCAGATAAGTCTAAATATTTCCTAAATAAGTTGTGAAGGACCCAGCAGTAAGGACAGACAGGCACAGGTGTATTTTTAAAAAAACAGGGTTGTTTTATTTAACCCAAAAAAGATAAACTGTCACAAGGACAAAATGGATCCAAAAATGAGGTCAAAGGAACAAAACCTACTCAAAATAACCAGTAACAGAACTGACTCAAACAAACTGACCTCCCTTATTGAAACAAAGAGAAACTTAAATAGTGGCTGATCAGTCCACAAAAGAAATACATGGGGCAAAACAAACACAAACCTAACTAAACCAAATTAAGCAAGATGCCATTTCCCCCCTATAGCACTGATTTGGTATGGTCCATATCATCTCAGCCCCTCAGCCACCTGCTGTTTCCTCAGCAAAGGGACCAGAGCAACTGAAACAAAGTATAAATGAAACAGAGTCACAACAGAACAGGGTAAACCAGAATGTGCACACTGATTTTAAAATAAAGTGCAATGGGGATGAATAAATTCCAAATAATGAAATTATTCTGTAATTGAAACCCTATATGAAAAAGAATATTTGTTACCACATCTGTGTGGCTGTACATGCAGCCATAACATAAGGTCAGATGGCAAATACAAAATTTTACTAAATGAGAAAATAAGACAGTATTGCTTTCTGTAAATTCAGAAATTCACATCCAGGAGTGGCGGCCTAGTGGTTAGTGCATAGAGCTTGGATTTCTGAGGTTCTGAGTTCAAAGCCCACCTCCATAGACTGTCACTATGGGTCCCTGAGCAAAAGACCCTTATCCCCACACTGCTCCCTGGTCACAGCACAGTGGCAGCCCACTGCTCCCCAAGGGGATGGGTTCAATGCAGAGAAAACATTTCGTTGCTCTGTAGTTGTTACAGTGTAATGACAATAAAAACCTGGGGGAAAAAAAATAATAATTACCATGATTTCGGAAAGCCCCAACAATGAAGGTTTTGGAGTGTTTAAGGAGATGAATTCACAATATTTTAGCCAAAAGGGGGAAAACCTTTGGGTTTACGTAGAAATAAAAACAGTTCAGATAGGAAGAAGAAGAATTGCGGATCATCACAAGTTTCATTCACACCTGGGTACAATTTGCAGATGTCAGGTTGATCTGTTCAAATTGACATATGAATGGGAAACCTCAGGAAGAAGAAAGATTCTGTGTCTCAGAGGTAAATGTGTTTTGGTGGCAAATGTGTGGAAGATATCAGAACAAAGACAAAAGAACTAGTGAAAAGGCTGGATGACGCTGGTGAGAAAGTTCCTTTATTTACGTGGAGAAACATGTTCCCCACTGAGAAGAGCACAAAGGGAAGCCATCATTCCTCAACATCACATCTGATCTAGAGCCAGACCTCGGCGACCCTGATATATATATGGCTGCCAAACTTGGCACACTGTATGTGAAAATGTCTACCTTTATGGATAAGCTTTCTTATTTTTGAGAATCACCGTACAACAGCTTATTGTTATGGAAATCAGCTTCTATAGGTTAAATGCAATTACTTAAATTAATGATGTGTAAAGCGATATGCCCTGCAGTAAAACAAAAAAAGCTTTTGAAAAGACATTGAATTCATTATTTTCATAAAACAAAACGTGAGTTTTAAGCTTTTTCCTAATGGCTTAACAAACCTCTTCACCTTCTAAATCTTTCACTTTTACTCCCTACTAAAGTTTCACGGTCAGCAGAGCCTGAATGTTGGGAAGCTAAATAGTTAGCTTGACTTTAGTGTTTTCCAGAGAGTTGTTGCTTATATGCATGCATGCATGTATAGCCCTATTTTGTGGTATTTTTTAAATTAAATAAAGACAAACAGATAAATGAAGTGCTGACCTCCCTAAATTATGTATGATATGATTCTTTAATTACAAACAAAGAGGACATGGAAAAATCTTTAAAATCTAACAAATATATTGCAATGAAATACATTTTTTTTTCTGTAATGCATAAAACCATATATTTAAGAAAAAGTTAAATGTAATCATAGACAAAAAAAAAAACATCCTTTATTTTTATTCAAATAACAGTTTTTAGTTGTGAAAACCTGAAGTGTTATATAGAGGGACAAAAATTCAAATCTATAAAAAAAAACTGAGGCAGGTGTAATTTGTAGCATTATTTATTTGTCAGTATTTCTATCTTTAAATTGTAGGTTATATTAGTTTTGACAACTTTTGGAGTTGACTTTTGATTTAGAGGCTTAGTGTGCCTTTAATGTTCAATTTCAGTAATAAAGATGCAGCTATATACAACAGCATTGCACTGTCTGTAAAATGAAAGTAAAGCTTTCTATTTATCCCTTATTTGAATTTAAAGTTACTGCAACTCAAAATTAGGTTATCAGTGGCAGTACTGGAACTGGAGGTGGCTCTAGTGTTTAGAGAGCATGGCATTGTTCTTGAAGTGATTGCAAAGTTTGCAGGCTTAAGACTTAGACTATTACTATTCCTGAACAAAAAAGGATTATGTTGTAATTGCAGATGACAAATTTCTTGTTGAGGGACAATCAGTGCTGAAAAAGAAGTAGAAAAAAACATACTTTTTTTATATTTGCAGTATATGAAGTAGCTTGTCTCAAACATGGTTCTAAACAAAATGTTTTAAACCAAGCATGGATACTTTTCGTCGGTTTTTCTATTTACCTCGCAGATTGATGCTCATTTGATATATATTATTAGAGCTCATTCTGTTTGGATTTTCATCTGGAATAAAGGCTTTGCCGAATTCATATGCGTTGAAAGCAACTTAACATTTCGCCTCCATTCATAAACAAATTTACCGATGACACGCCGATGATTGTTACTGTTTACCTTTCAGTGACATTCTCTGAAATGTGATGCAGGGTTATTTAAAGAAAATTATTCAGTTGATTTGCAGATGCTCACCATCCCGGTCTTTTACCACCTGCAGGTGATTGACATACATACCTTCCTCATTTCAAGCCACTACTGCATTTGTGTCTTTGTGGTGATAAACAGCCGTAACCGTGGGATTTAGACTCATTCAGTAACCCTCTCCTCCGGCATCTCGGCCGTTTTCCCCAGGATGGGGTCTGGCATAATTAATTTGGTTATCTGTGCTTGTAAGTCGCTGTGACCTTTACAACAATGTGCTTGTATCTTTTTTTCTCACGTTGGTGCGAAAGATGAAAAGGCCTTTTTGTGTGTTTGTCATTGAACCAGCAGCCATGCTGAAAATGTCACTGGTTCATCTTCCTAGCTTTTAAACAGCCAGAGTGAGCCTGAAAGGAAAAGTGCACTCAGAGGAGACTCCATAAACTAAATGGGCATCTAAATAGCCTCTTGTTGATAAAGTCATTTGCAACATTCCCCAACTCATTTCCGGAGTAATCTGGCTCCCAGATATCCAGGCGGGGCCTAATCATTGAGGCACTGTGAGCCTCTTTAGAGAGGGCCTGTGCTCTATGTTCTCCACCCATCGCTGTTTGCTGGATATGTTGAGTGGAGGTGAGGGGGTCCCAATGCCATGTGTCGGAGAATATTAGCTGGCTCCACAGCCTGTCACTTCTGGTTAGCTCAGAGAATTCCTCAGTCGCCTGACTCAGCTTGCTGCCCTCTGCAAAGGCGAAGGCGGAAACGTAGGGCACAATTGCCCCAAAAATAGTGTTTCTAGTGAAATAAGATGCACAGCGGCGTTCTCGTTAAAGAAGAGACCCCCACGGCAGGATGTGGAAGTTACCAATCCACACAAAAGAGGAGAAGATTCAACCGTTTGTCCAAACCCAAAG